GGGTTGGTAACAATTGAAAGACAGGAGCACTCCTTCTTTGTATGATTCAATATAATATGTCCTCTTGTTATCAAAAGGCTGTTAAATGACAATACTTTGTTAATAAAGTACTACCACACTAGTCGATTCATGTGTTAATATCAGCATCTTGAATATTCTATACTTCTGCATAGTATTCCTGAGTTTTCTATGTTTCTGGACCTCTGAATGTCCTACGTTTTATTTTTACTTTTTCCCAAGAAAATCAAACTGCATATGCAGCCATACAATGGCACATGCAGCCCTATATGTCACTACAACAAAAGTCGCATGTGTCTAATTTTATGATACATATAAAAGTGTTATTTAATTTACAAAGGACTAAATAATAGTGACACAAATAAAAAGTGTGGCAAATCATGGCACATATTTGTATCGTTAGATATAAAATAAAATAAATTTGAAAAAAGCTAATTATCACACATTGGTTGTGTGAGGATATATTGAAGGGCTTAAATAATAAGTCTTAGATGTTAAGTATATTAATGATTAAACATATATGATAGTGTATAAGATAAACAACTATATGGTTACGTGTGCTTTGGTGAGAGTAATCCTAGGATGGTTAACCTGCTGGGAAGTTCTAGTATTGAATGGTAATACTCTTTATATTTTTATGGTTTAGACACAACTATGTGTCACCACTCTTGACACATATATGTGTCACATATTTTATGGTACATGTATCTGTCAACTCTCTCAACGCATATATGTGTCGGGAGTTTTATGATACATGTATGTGTCACAAGTTTTGCGACACAATTTCACACGTATAGAAAGACGCTCTCCACACATGCTCTAACCACACTTTTAGTATGTCATGCTTCATTTGTGTGATACAAAAATATAAAAAATGTATCATAATTTACAACTTTTGTTGTAGTGTGTGACGCATATGCATCTCGTTCAGTATGCACCAAACACCAACTCACTGCATGCTAATGCATATGCAGCTTGAAATGGATCTTAAAAGCATCCATGAAATCTAACCTTCGGGAGACGATTATGTTCTCCATAATTTCAACCTGTCTCGGTACTTTTTACTTGATATCTGAAAGAAACTGAATGGGGAAATGCAAGAGTTATGTCAAGTCATGTTTCTCATAAGTCTATCCATCCATGTATTTGATTAACGGGCTTTATGGAGTGGTTCCATGCACTGTGATAGGGACTTGGATAGTATGGGATGCCTAAAGTCCCACATCAAGTAGTTTGGGATGCTTGATGGGGTATTTAAGTGGTTTGATTATTCCCCCTTAACAGCTAGCTTTTAAGGGGGTTCCCCAAGTTGCATGTGTGCCTATCAATTGGTATCAGAGCTGGTTGTCGGCGTCACGGAAAAGACTACCTGTGGAGGGGCTGACCGGCGGAGGGACTGACCGGAAAGGCCGAGGGAAGCGTCTAGAGTGCAGCCCCCGGGACGTCGGCTCTCAGGGACGGTGCTATGATAGGGGCTTGGGTAGTATGGGATGCCTAAAGTCACACATCGAGTAGTTTGGGATGCTTGATGGGGTATTTAAGTGGCTTGGTTCTTCCCCCTTAACAGCTAGCTTTTAAGGGTGGGTTCCCCAAGTTGCTTGGGTGCCTATCAATTGGTATCAGATATCAATTGATAGACACCCAAGCAACTTGGGGAACCCACCCTTAAAAGCTAGTTGTTAAGGGGGAAGAACCAAGCCACTTAAATACCCCATCAAGCATCCCAAACTACTCGATGTGTGACTTTAGGCATCCCATACTACCCAAGTCCCTATCACACTGACAGAGGGAATCTAATTTGATGGGATTAACTACACATACAAAAGAAAATGGTTCATCAACTAGCACTGCTATGCCATTCTATTTGCACCTGTCTGAACTGTAAGCTTGTGGAGGGTAAATCCACAACAGAATATTACTCTTCCTAATATCGCTCACATTGTTGAGAAGCTAAAATAGTACCACCTCTTTGACTAGATAAAAACCCAAAGCTCGAGCTAAACTCATATATCAGATTTTATAATAAAGTAAGTACACTACAGATATCTAACCTTTCCACTCTTATAAAAACGAGCCAAGTTACAATATGTAAGACACTTACCTCAATATAATCCAAGACATGATACCCATGAGGAGTTGTGTCCAATACTTATAAATACATAAATAGTTACTTGCATTGAAAACATGTATAAGATAGAAATAGAAAATAGCATAAGATGAAATATGCTACACCTCTTACTGACATGAGCTAGTTTGCAAGAGATCATTTTATTAGAATTAGACTCGGTCATGCGAACTACAATCCAACATCTATTATACAAATATATTTGCGTCCTCATGTTTGGTTTGGGGAAAGTTGCTGCTCTGACAGAAAAGTAAGGAAAAGCTTTATTTTCCCCAAACATGGATATTTTGTTTGGTGGGGGGGCACTAATATCAGCTAAATCGATCAGGAAAATATACAAATTTACTTACAATCTTTTATATTCATCCCCTGAGAGCACTGGTTTTGGTGTAAATCATGTTTAAACCTAATAAAGTTGTGTCCTTTTCCGTATCAGCATCCCACAAGAGTTTCTTAATAACTAAATTAAACCTGAAAAATTAAAGCCCTAAATTCCTACAGCTCAAGGGCTAACAAAATCTATCCTATTGTCAAAATTGGACTTCAAGAAACAAAATAACAACAAAAATTCCCAAAATTTATCTATCGACTCTTTACCTGAGAGATCAGCCAAGCCTGCTCCATCCTCTTCACGAAATCAGACGAGCTCCCAGAGGACTCAACGGCAGAAGAAGCTCTAACGACGAGGGACAGAACCTTCGAGAACCTTCTAGAAGAAAGCAGGCCACTGCTTCCTTCTCTGAGCTTCGGATGAACAGAGGAGTTGAGAGGTTGGAGAGAGAATGAAGGACTACAGCGTGAGAAACAACAGGATATCGATGCCATTCGATTCGATTTTCTAGGGTTTCTCTTCTTCCTCCTCCTTCAATTGACTGATTCTAACGAAATGCCTGGGAGCGGTGAGCTCAGTGATTCGTTGGACCGGTGACAGGAAGAACTCTGCTCTGTGAATTTTCAAGCGTTTTTTTTTAAGGACTTTTTAGTTGGCAAAAAACTGGAAAATTACTTTATTATAGGTTAGCGTAAAGAAAAATTCTTCAAGGACCCAAAATATGGGATCAATAGGGAGACAGGTGAGATGTTCCACTCCTATTGGATAATGAGTTGGTCATCATTAATGATGGCCAACTCATTATACAATAGGAAGAGGACACATCACTTGTCCCCCTATTGGTCCCATATTTTGGGTCATTGTAGCAAAGCTCTAGGGTAAATTACACGAAAATATTCTAAGATTGGCCAAAGTTAATAAAAAAAATTTGTAAGGACCCAAAATATAGGACCAACAAGGGTGACAGGTGAAATGTTCCTCCTATTAGTCTAATATTTTGGATCACTGTAACAAAGCTCAGCTTAAAAATATATTAACTTTCACACCCATACAAATAAATGCCTTCAGCTTCTCAAAAAATTTTATAGTTAAAAATCAGATAACAGTGTTAATTATCTCCAGTGACATTAATGCCCCCAACCCCACCCTACTCCCCTACCCCAAAAAACAAATAATATAATACTAATAATAAAGATCACCCGCCCCATTTAGTAAAACCCCTCGACAGTTAAAACTTTCTCTTTCTTACATTTTCACCAACCTCCCTCAAATTCACCGTGATGTAGGGTAAATTTAGAGCTCGATCAAGAAATTCGAAGCCGTATTGTAGATCTCGAACTTGTAGGGGTTGTTTTCTGCAAGGTTGCATGGATGGGTTAGGAGTTGCCCTAATTTAACTAAATCCCAAAAAAAAATCATACAATTAAAAATATGAGCATTTGTAAAATTTGGTGTTAATTTATGATTCTCATGTGAATAAGAGAAATTGGTGCTTGTATTTGAAAAGATTGGTTGTTATTAAGATTTTTTTATGCACATGCTTTTTTTTTATGGAAAACAAGGGATATACCCTGTTTATTAACTAAAAATAAAAGAGTATCTTTACAAAATATGGATACGAACTGTATCCGTTGATTGATAGATAGAAAACTTAATTTCTCTTATCTATTGATGGATAACCTTCTTCTCTCAAATATCCATGAAGATGAAGAGAGGGCCTTGCCGTCATTCATCGTTGACATGGATATAAAAGAGAACCAAAGCCGGCCATACATGTAGAAAAGAGAAATTACATTTTCTATAGATCAATTGGAAAACCAAAAATACACCACCAAAAGTATTTACAAGACATCTGAAAACAGATCAAAAGATTTAGCCGCTGCAACGTGGGATTGGCTTGTCTTCCAATATTTTTGCTAACTGGACAGCTTCCTTCCTTGTTCCCGATCCTGCCCAGTCTTGCAAAGCAAGAATTGAAAGGTTAATAATTGATTCAGCAGATAAAGATTTTTGTTCAAAGATAAACTTATTTCTTGAAATCCATATAGACCAGCAGACTGCAGAGAAAAGAGTGCGCCATATAATGCCTTCCAGTTTACGTAGAGATGTAACAGAAATCAGAAGTTCATCAAGAGATGATGGCCAAATGAATGGTAGAAAATAGTTACCAAAATGAATCCAGATTGACTTAGCTGTATTGCATGAGAAGAAGATGTGATTTTTAGTTTCGGCCTGTGTACCACAAAAAATACAGTTTGAATCTCCTTGCCACCCTTTCTTGATGAGATTATCTTTGGTATGTAAGCGGTTCAAAGATAAAAGCCAAGTGAAAATTTGTATCTTGCTTGGTAGAATGGGATTCCACGCCACTTTGTAGAAAGCATATTTGATCCCTCTAGAGTTCAGGAAATCATAAAATGATTTAACAGTAAAAGAACCATTTGTTGTAAGAGACCTTCTAGGGTTATCAGGCTGATTAGTGATACTTTGCTGATTGATAAGATTCAAGAGATGAAATTTGTCATATTGAGAATCGGTTGTAATGCTTCGTTTCAATAGAGGATGCCAATGCCATAGATTATTGAGGTAGTGTCCTTGACTACGAATGGAGACATTGCTGGAAAAGATTAAACTGTATAAGGATGGAAATAAACTTGATAGACTATTAACACCAATCCATCTGTCCTCCCAAAACCTGATTTTTTCACCAGAACCAAGAGACCATAACAAAATATGTAGAAAGACTTCTTTGTTGGAGATGATGTTATTCCAGAAATGTGAATTTGAGACATTACAATTAGCTAATTGTAATGAAGAAGCTTTTCTGATGTATAGATGATGAAGAAGAGCACCTGTGAAAGAATCATTGTCGAAACATTTCCATAGCCATTTGGAAAGAAGAGCTATATTAAAATTTTTGAGATCTTTGACACCTAAACCTCCTTCTGATTTGCTCATACATGCCTTTTTCCAATTAACCAGACATTTAAAAGGTTTTGATTCATTTTTTCCTGTCCATAGGAAGTTCTTTCTAATCTTATCAATGTCTTTAATCAACCATTCTGGAAGCTTATAGAAAGACATAAAATAAACAGGGATTGAAGAAAGAACCGAGTTCAATAAGATAATTTTTCCTCCCAAAGATAGGCAATTACTCTTCCAAGAAGCAAGCTTACGATGTAAATTATCTAATAAAGGTTGCCAATCAGGTTTAGATAATTTACCCCCTTTCAAAGGTAAGCCTAGATACTTGATAGGAAGAGTGTCTAATTTGCAATTGAGTGATGAGGCAAGAGAAGCTCCTCTGTTGTGAATATTTCCAAAATATATCATAGCTGATTTTGAAAAATTTATGCCCAGTCCTGAGATGTCTTCGAAGATGTATAGTATAGTCTTGAGAACAGATATATCATGGAAGGAACTATTACCAAAAATAAGAGTGTCGTCAGCAAATTGTAGACTCCTGATATGGTTAAGAGGATCCTTAATGTGCAGGTTAGATAAAGATCCTTCATTAACATTGGACATAATCATTTTACTCAAGACATCAACTGATATGTTAAACAACATAGGAGAAAGGGGATCTCCTTGTTTAAGACCTCTCTTGCATTTAAAGAATCTAGATGGAGAACCATTGACAAGAACAACACAATTTGAGGAGGAAATAATATGGTAGATCCAGGAGCACCATTTGTCACCAAACCCTCTAGCTTTTAGCAAATTTATGAGAAAACTCCAACTTATAGAGTCGAAAGCTTTTTTTTTTATTTGAATGATTGAATACTGTAAACGATGTTTTGTGGTGTTCGATGATGTTGCGTATTGTTAAAAGCGGTGATGTTGCGTATTGTTAAAATAATCTAAATTTTGGTGCTTTTAGTGAAGTTTTTTCTGAATTTTTTAGGTACATAGTGCATTGGAGACTGAGGGGTTTTTTTTTTTACAAATTTGGTTGAATAGGACTATAGGAGGTTATGGCTGAGAGCATAAAGGATTTGAGCTTGACTTCATGCTTGGTTGTAATGAGATTAGAACGAAACAATGCGAGCAATTGCTTTGCGCTCAAATCTAATATTATTATAAAATTGTATTGATATGTTAAAATATTTCTTCCGAAAATGCCCTTTAAAACACCTACATGCATACATAAAACACATGCATCCATACATAAATCATATCTCATACATACATAACCCCCAATTAAATGCATTATTATTCATAACCCCTAAAATAATTTCACCATGACTAAGTTGTTTATATTTTTATAACCTCCCATTTAACATATTAGTCTCTTATAATTCTCACTAATTATCACTATCATAATTAAAAAAACGTTACAACCATTCATCTTCTTACTAAACCACTATAAATCATAACAAATCTCTTACAAAAATGAATACATCATGTGCAACCCTCATCATCTCCATTGCAACTCCTCAAATCCTTGAACGTCTCTTTGTCCCAATTTTGCTTATTTGGATTTCATTCTCTGCACAACCAACCACTACTTACTATCTCTTATTATAACATGATGAGATTATCATGATCTATAGTGAAAGATTCTTTCTCTATCTTTTATAGAGAATGTTTCAACTGATTTTTTACCATTAGAATTTCTCTTTGCTTGATTTGGCTTATTATAATTTATGTCTTCATTGGTCAATCAAGAATTTTGAAGTTTGTATTTAATTTTTGTTTTGAGAAACATAAAACCCAACCAAATATGAAATTCATGATTTAACAAAATATGTTTTACTTAAAATATTTTATTTAAAGTAATAAAATACATGATTTTTTTTAAAAGTTATAGTTGTAATGTGCTATCAAAACTTAAGATGATGCAAATGGGTAAAAAGAGTTGGACATAATAATAATAATAATAATAATAATAATAATAATAATAATAATAATAATGTCTCACTTATAACCTCTTCATATTCATAACTTCTCCATTAATTACCTATAAAATTTTTTATTTAATCTCTCACTCATAACCTCTCCTAATCTTTTATTTCACCCATTAATCTCCATCACTAATAATAATAAAACCCCACCCCCACCCCCAACAAACACTATCCTTTAATTTCAGCAGAAACTAAATATACTTAATTTTTATAACCTCCCAATAACAAATTAATCCCATACTCTCTCTTTCTTAATTCTCACTAATGATCACTACCATAACCATAGAGAATGTTTCAACTGTTTATCTTTATACTAGCCACTATAAATTACAGCTAATTTGTTTAAATTTTTCTATGAATTCTCTTTTAAGTATAATTTCCTACTTCATTATTAATACTTATAAAGTAAGATTTCGAAATAAGTTAAATATAGAGTGATGCTTCGTGACATGTGTGTATTATCTAGAGCTCAATGTCTTAAGACTAAATTCTGAAAATGACACATGAAGTTACTTTACTTCCAACTGATCAAGTAAGATGAATAATTAAAGAAGAAACAAAGAGTAGTTTCCCGTATTTATATAAACGAGTTTGAGATTTTTAGGTTCTGCTCTTACTATGTATATGCAAAGATCTTTAGCACTAGCATAATATGCACATAGCAGTCCATATTTTCCAACGTAACGAAGAAAAAAGATTAAAAATTTTAACATCAAATAATATTCAGTCTGTTATTGTGGAAATTAACT